CACCTAAAATACTTATTTGGATCATGTCTTGAGAACAGGTGGGTACCAATGATTCAAGTGTCAGACAGCTGAATCACTGGCAATAATACAAAATTTTGTATTCCCAATTCCTCCTCTTTCCATAAAGTTAAACAGTATCATCAAAGTTATGCAATCAAAAGTCTTTCTTCACTGAGAAAAAAAGGGGAGGGAGAAGACAGACGAAAAAAAGGAGTAAGAGAATAAAAAGAAACAGTCTTAAATAGGAGAGGAAACTATAAATCATCAAATCCACACCTGGTTTTTCTTCTACCTGTCAGTCTTTTCTTAGGAGCATCAGTTTCTGCAAGTCTGTTCCCAGCTATTTTTCTAAGAAGACAGTTCCAAAGAAGCATTTTCAGTATCCAGATATTTTGCTCTGCCCATGAAACATCTGACTTGGGCAAGATCTTTTCTCTCTCTGGCACTGTGCTAGAAGAGTATGAATGGCTGGGATGGATGATAAAGTAAGTAGTATAATTTTCCTGACACAATCAGTGTCTTGGTTATTATGTTTTCCTCCAGAAGAGATGGTATGATATAACACTGGTTATTTACATCAAGAGAATGTGGCCCAGATATGACATAGTATCACAGCCTCCTACTTAACCAGGCTGAACCAGTTCCTTATGTGAGGAGGTATGGAGGATAAGGCAATTATTATTATTTTTACTGTAGTCTTTGTCTTTCTCCTCCACCAAAGTAAATCTCTTGGTGATTTGCAGTAGAGTTTCAAGGTCTCAGATTCCTAAGGGTTTAACAAGAACAAGTTAAATTGACAAAAAAGAGTTCAGTGGCACTCACTCCTGTCTTGAAGGCTATCGAGATTAATTTAACATAAGCTTTTGTAGAGTGCAGTCCAGTTTATCAGTTGCATCTGAGTAGGCTGCAGTCTTTGAAAGCTTATGACAAATAAAGCACATTCAAAGCTTAAGCAATTGAACTCCTCCTCATTGTTTTTCAGCTGCAACAAGCAAAAGTGATTACTCCTGTGAAAGTAAAGATATCTGCCATGGCAGGCTTTGTACTAATCACTAATCTCTCCCCCACAGAGTTACCATATATGTTACAGGGATGACCTAAAGATCACAGTTGCATCAGCTCTCAATACCCTTTGTTACTCATTTTGAATTTGCTGTGGTGATAGCACAAAATCACTGCTTATCCTTTAAATGTGCTGCTGTGGTATTGACTTCCAGTAGTGGTGGTGGAAAAGTCCCTTTAAAAGAAATCTTAAAACATGTTGCACAGGGTGCATGTGACTTGCTTTAAAGCCAGTTTGTCCTCCTGGAAGCAAGAATTGGCTGCACAACAAGACACATATTCCCTGCATGCCTTGTTTTAACATACAAGTGCTTTTCCTTTGTTGTCACAACAGCTGTAGTTTAGGGGCTGCCTGAACTGTGTTGGGAGGTGGCAATACTACCTTTCAACCCAATGAATTTCCCAGTCCTTGTATACTAATTATTGATCTATTGATCTGATTTCTGTGCAGCTCCATCTGTGCAGAATGGAGGCTGGTTATGCCATAAGGTACTTATAGCCCAAAATTTGACATAGGAATGGGAGAAAAACAGAGGCAGTAAAGAAAGCAGGAAGAGTGTGTGTTTATTGATAAATAGGACAAAAGAATAAATACATGTAAGATGAGGCTGCAAACTTGGTTACTGGAAACTCTTTCATCTCAGTCCTTTCTCATTCATGTCTCCCAGATGTCTTGAATAATGCTTTATCACTGCATCTATCCAACCAAAACAAAAGAAACAATCCCACAAAAAATCTTATTTATGATACTTGTTGTATGTTTTCAAGTTGTTTCTGACTTCTGCTGACCCTGTCACGAGATTTTCTTGGCAAGATTTGTTCAGAGGGGGATTGCTTTGCCTTGCTCTGAGGCTAAGAGAGTGTGACTTGCCCAGATCACCCACTGGGTTTCCATGGAAGAGCAGGGATTTGAACTCTGGTCTCCAGAGTTGCAGCACAATGCTCAAACCACTACACCATGCTGGCTCACACTTATTTAGGGAGACTGGGTCAAATACATGCAAGAAGCACAAGTAGAGCTGAGTTTGTGTTTCCTCACCTGTTCTTTAGCCGAAGTTTAACTCCACCTGACCATGCTGTTTTGTTGCATTGCAAGTCAGATCTGAGACATTCTGAACTGAGGGAATGGGAAGCAGTAATCTCAGTACGGTCCTTTGTTGCCAATGTATCTCTGTGAAAAGAAAAGAAAAATCCTCAGATGATGGAGGGTGTGTGTGTACCCACACTCCCGTAAGGAATATTTAGGTTAAAAATTGTGCATCCTTTTTATAACAAAATGCATTGAAGAGTACGGTGATAAACTTATGTGATAGCAGAGTGCATTACAGAAAGCAAAATGCCATTTTCTTGACAAGCAAAAGTGGTTGTCGTTTTTTACTTCCAGTTGTTGCTCTATTGGCTCCCAGACTCCCCAAAGTCGCCTATTGCAGCTTTAAGAGAAACAGAACAAAGCATCCGTAGAATGAATACAAAGAAACAGAATACACAACCACCAAGAAGCAGGTAGGATTCAAGGGATTTGAAACAATATTGTTCGAAAGGCTTATAATATAGAGTGCAATCCTATGTGTGTCTACTCAGTAGATGGGAATACGCAGAAGAACTATTTAAAAAAAAAGAGAAAATATGACAGATTCATTCAAAGTAGAACCATTTCAAAAAGAACCTATAATTTTAGAAAGTGAAGTAGAAGCTGCACTCAGGGCACTTGGGAGAAATAAATCACCAGGAACAGATGGCATACCAATAGAACTGCTTAATGTTACAGGGAGAGAATATACTCTGGTTCTAACTAAAATCTGTTAACAAATATGGAAAACAAAATAATAGATCACAGATTGGAAATGCTCAATAAGCATTCCAAGCCCTATGTAAAAGGACACCAGGGATTGCAGTAACCACCAGACCATTGCATCAATCTCCCATGCAAGCAAAGTGATGCTTAAAATTCTACAACAAAGACTTTTATCATACATGAAGTGAGAAATGTTAGATGTGGGTTCAAGAAAGGAAGAAGAACAAGGGATCATACTGCAAACATATATAGAATAATGAAGTACACCTACAAATTTCAGAAGAAAAGCAGCCTATGCTTTATAGATTACAGCAAAGCTTTTGACTGTGTAGATCATGAAAAATTATGGTTCACTATTTTAAAAAATGAGTGTGATGTGTAACCTTTACTCAGGACAAAAGGAAAGAATAACAGAGAAAAGGGATGGTTTCCAATTGGCAAGGGCATCAGGCAAGGCTATATTTAATCACCCTGTTTGCTTAATTTGTATGATGAACATACATAAAGGAGTACAGTCAGAAGAAGGAGGCATGAAAATGAGAGGAAGGAACATCAACAATTTAAAATATGCAGATAACACGATACTACTAGATGAAAATATAGGTGCTGTGCGTGTCTATGTTTGGATGACAAGCTGCGACAAACTGTGGTTAGTACTTAATACATAATGACATCATGGGGGGTTCATTGTTACATCTCAGTTTTTGGCCCTGAGAAAGCTCTGGGCTGGGACAATCCTGAATAGGCAAACCTAGCTTGATCTCACATTTCTTTATGCAGAAGCAAGTTCAGAGGAGTTGATACTCAAGTAAATTTGCCTCAGAAAAACACAGAAAGCTGTCTCATTCAAGTTCAGAATGTGCATCTACTTGTCCCCGTACTGTTTACTCTCACTGACAGTACTACTCCAGGGTATCAGACAGAAATGGTCTTTCCTGCTGCTTGTGTTCTCATTTTAACTGGAGATGTCAGGGATTGACAGGGGCTGTCAGAATATATGTTTGTGCTGTACCACTAGCCTCAGCTGTACTCCTTCCCCATGCAAAGGACTGTAACTCTGATCATGATAATTTTTCAGAAAAAAACCCAACATAACAAATGATCAGGCATCAATTAAAATCACTTTTGAAAAATAAATTGCGAAATTGATCCTACAGATTGAACAATCCATGTAAAAAGTAGAGTCTGGTTTTTATGAATTGGGACTACCGCATTGAAAACTGCAGGTTAAGATCTGATTTCTGTTATGCACCACTGTTGCATTAGGTGTTGATTAGAAAATTGATTTAGGAATGTATTTTAGTAATGTATTTAGTACCAGTACGAGCATAAATATCCTCTCAAACCTATGTTGTCTACACAAAAATATAGACACACTACAACTATAGCACCTGTAACTACAAGAAGTACAGTACCTATTTGGTACTATGAATACTTACTGATGTTGTATTCAGACCTTATACTCAATGTCGAAAGCTTATCTCTCGAATGTACACATGTGGAGTGCATAATGATTTCACAAAGAAAAATGCTTGTGTTAACTGAATTGAGGGGGAGGAGGGAAGACATTACTAAAATCCATTAGAGTGCTTTCTTTACTGCAGCAGTGAGGACATGTCAAGGGAACAATAATATATGAACAATTTGCTCCCACTTTATGGAAAGTGGATAATTTTAGCTAGCAAAGCAAGAATCTGGCAAAGTGCACACGTGCACAAGCAAAACCATCTAGGACAATCAGGTGTGGCATCAGGTGTTCCTTATGCTGAAGAATAAAAATAGCTATATTTTAATATTTGTTGTTTGTATTTTACTCCTAAATGATGAAAGTAGTGTAGTAACAGTCATTGTCATTATCATCATTAGCACTGCCACCAATATTTTTTCCTAATTTATTGAGCTACAACCCTCAGGGGGCATGGCCACATCTGGGGGACATCACATCAATACACACACACACACACACACACACACTCCTTCCACTTCCTTTTCTGAATCTTGCTATTCCTAAAGAGGTTTCAATAAGCAAACAGAAGGAAAGGGCATGTTCACAATGTTTCTCTATTAATCTAGTTTGCCTATAAGTTTAATAGATTTGAGTGTGCTATAGTGGCAACTGTGCTTGTTTTGAATTAGGGAAAGAGCCAGCATGTCATAGTGGTTTGAGCATTGAACTACAACTCTGGAGACCAGGGTTCGATTCCCCGTTTGGCCACAGAAACCCACTGGGTGACTTTGGGTGAGTCACAGACTCTCAACCCCAGGGGATGGCAATAGCAAATCTCCTCTGAATAAATCTTACCAAGATAGAATCACATGATATTGAACCTTATGGTCGCCGTAAGTTGGAAACAATTTGAAGGCACACAACAACAAGACTTTGCTTCAAATTCCTGCTCAGATGTGACACTTACAATGTCCTTAACATATCTCCCGATCTACCTCACAGGGTGGTTGAGGGTTAAAATAAGGAAAGGGGGAGAAACACAACCTATGCCTGCCTGAGTTCTTTACAGTAACAATAGGTTACAAATGTATGGAGTGGAAAAATGTATCCATTTATTTATTAGAATATCTGTTGTTGCTGTTGTTGTATGACTTCAAGTCGTCTCGACTTATGGCAACTCTAAGGTAAACCTATCATGGGGTTTTCTTGGCAAGATTTGTTCAGAGGAGGTTTGCCGTTGCCATCCTTTGAGGCTAAAAGACTGTAACTTGCCCAAGTTGACCCAGTGGGTTTCATGGCTAAGTCACGATATAAACCCTATTCTCAAGGGTCATAGTCCAATGCTCAAACCATTACACCATGCTGGCTCTATACTTGCCCTCAATTCAAGATCTCTGGATGGTGTCCAACTAAAACCAATTAAACAACTTAAGACAATCTAAATTTGAAATAATAAAAGCAATTTTAACAGTCGAAAAGTATATTAAACAATGCAACGGATTTAAAACAGGTTGAAACAGTTTAAAACCAGATGAAGGTACATTTTGGGACAAATCAATTAGGCCCCAAAGGTTTTAATCAAAAGCTATGTTGTTACTTGATGCTAGAATGAAGCTAGGGTTGGTGCCAGTTGGGTGTCTAAGGACAGGGTCTTCTGCAATTTGGGTGTCACAACTAAGAAGTTCTGCTCCCATGTCACTCCTCAGCATATTGCCTCCATTGTTGGGACACATCAGAGCCATGCCTGCAGTAACAGACCTCTATCCTCAAACAGGCCTATATAGGGAGAGATGTTCCTTCAAGCATCCTTCAAAAATCAAGATCTCAAGCCATGTAGGCCTTTGACTGTCATCATAAGCACTTTGAATTCAGGTCGGAAATACTGATAGCCACTTCAGTGTTTGCTCAGAACCAAGAAAATCTGGCAACTACTTCATATCAGGACCTAGAGCTTTTTAGAAGTTAGTTGTTGTTGTTGTTTTGGTACTACAACCACAAGAGCCCTTCAGCCAACATGGTCGTTTGTCATACTAGATGGGGGAATTCTAGGAGTTGCAATATAAGCAAGGTAATTTCCTAAAGTTCTGCTAGGACCAGACTATTTTTACACTTAGCCCATGGGTGGGAATCACAACGCCTACAGAACTGCAGCTGCCCAGCAGCCCTTGTGAGCACAGCCTATGGTGAGGAATGCTAGGAGGTTACATTCAATAGTAGTTGGGAGCTACATGATTCTTTTCATGGACCTAGCCCAGTATTGCCTACTCTCAACTAGCATCAGCTACTCAGGACATCAGACAGCCTATCAACTTTACACCTTTTAAATGAAGATGCCAGAGATAAAAGCATCTTCATTTAAAAGGTGTAACTCCCAGCAGCTCTAGACAGCATGGCCAAAAGCCAGGAACACTGCAACTTCACAGTCCAACATTGGGGAAGACCACACTTTGCCCACACCTGTCTTACAATAGTGGTTTTCAAGTGGTTTAACTTTAACAGAGTAAATAATAGGAATGTGCTACCCCAGGGATCCCCACACTTTTTGAGCCAGGGGCTGGTTTGCTGGCCCCCAGATCATCGGAGGGGGGGCGGAGGTGCGCATGCACATGCATGCACACTACTCAGGTGCCATTTTGTTCCAAAATGGCACCCGGAGTCATGCGCATGTGCCCGGCATCGCGCACGACTCCGGGCGCCATTTTGGAACACAAAACGGCAACGGAGTAGTGCACATGCATCACTGGGCACCATTTTGTGTTCCAAAATGGTGCCTGCTGTAGTGCGCATGATGCCAGGCGCCAATTGGAACACAAAATGGCACCCCGCATTGCGCGGCGGCGGCAGGACCGGCCACGGGCCGGTTCAAAGGCCTCAACGGGCCGCGTTCGGCCCGTGGGCCATAGTTTGGGGACCCCTGTGCTACTCTTTCATGAGGCCTAACTTAGAGGACACCTTTGGCAGGGCTAGCCTTCTCATTGAAAACTCCAACTAATGATCCCAAGTGACCTTCAGACCATACAGCTCAATAAAAATAAAAATAAAAAATACAATCTTGCGATAATATTGGCCATTGCCATCAAAAGAAGGGAGATACTCTGCAGTGAAGAAAGACTATGTTGAAGAGTCCAGGTTCCTGCTTTTTCTGAGGAGGACAAAGAAAAGTGGAAGCGAAAGAATGAGTAAAAAGAAAATAGAAACCTGCGTGAGAGGAAAATGTTCTGTCCTTTCACCCGCGTCAAGGCCAAAGAAGAAAAAGGTGCTGCTGACAGAGTTCTGGCATTATTGTTCTATGTTTAGTGAGCTTAGGGCTCAAGCCGCATTGCCATCCTGTGAGGCTTTGGGATGCTTCAGATAGCTGAGATTCCACTGCAGTGAGGGAAAGAAAGGGCAGCCTTCTTTGTGAGCACCAAAAACCCTCCTCTCCTGCTCACTCCTCCCCATCAAGCCCCCACGTGCCAGGCAAGAATTTTAAGCCCTTGCAATGAAGCTGAGGCACTGCTAGCCAAGGACTGCTGCAGCACTTTCACCTACTAGAGGGGAGAATTTCTGCACCCGAATGGCACTCTTGCACAAACCTGCTGCCGTATGTCACGGCTGTACTCTAAATCCTCCCTTAGCCGCTTGCCCTTTCCTCTAAATCCTACCCCCCTTGGCTTTTCCCTCTGCATTTGTCATTTCTCTCCGCTTAAGCCGAAAAGGACCCTTTCACTTATCAGATATCTTTACAGCAAATCTGCTCAGGATCCTTTCATAGGACGTTATCACACGTGGGCCAGAAAGCGATAATAAA